CTAACTCACATTTCCTTTTGGACAAGTTTTCCATGTTTTCTTCTTTGTCATCTCTATTTAGACAATGAAATCTTCATGGAAAGGATTGATCTGCCATGCACATCTTCAATACCTCGCATTCAGCTGGATCTCTCTGTGGTAACTGTGCATCAAATCTAATATTTTGAGATCTGATAATGTGTCTGCCATGAACTCCTAGGGGCTGGACAGCACTGAGCACAAGGGTCCTGCTTCTTGTCAGGTATCCTGGAACCATAATTGTGCAAGAAGTAAAACCAGTTCAAATCTGGATTTTAAGGGGCCTGATTTTGACAGGCCCCTGATTTGCTATTTTCCACAGTAATGAAGCAACAAACACCAGTGAAATACTTCAGAGCCCTCATTTGTATAAAACTAGATACTTTCCTTTCCCTCACTGTCAAAACTCCATCGAAGAGTGGAATCTCTGTGCCCCAGGAAGCTTAGCTGTGAATATTTGAGCTATTCCAGCTCTCATGTTATAGCTTGGTGCCTACAGTCACAATTTATTAATATGTGTATGCATTATTTCCCACCAGACTGCCTGGAAAAACACTTTCTATCTTGGTATGTATTTTTGCTTAATTTGCAGTGGCTTGCAGACTCACACTCCCTCTAAATGTTATGTACACTGATCTAATCTATTTACAATTAGTTCAGATGAAAAACTGATGGAAGATGATAGTGTCATGCAGTAAAAGCAGTGGAGAAGCCTGTCCTCCTTGCATGCAGTTGCTTACCCATGCCAGTCAAACACTGAGGCATGGGTATCAAGTCTACACAGATGTGACATTTAGACCTTAAGTTAGCAGTTGCCTTTTCAAAGGCAGTGAATTAAGTTAGATGACTGATGGGATCAGACTGATAGATGATGGTACATAGATTTGGCCGAGCATCTCTGATTTCTCTTTCATAGCTCTAAGTGTCACTGCAAATTGTTTTAACATAATTTTGAATGTGTAAATCTGACCGTAGGTAATAAATCAGCCTGAATGCATCAGCTAGTGGCCTTGTCTGTGCATTCTAACACTTTGTTGTGTCCCTCTGGTTTGAATATAGCTGTCATTCTGTGACAACCTGCAGGAAATTTATGTACACAGAAAGGGAAGCATTTAAGTGACTCAAGACTACAAGAAAAAACTTATGAGTAGAAAGAAAAAGGCTTGAGCTACAGATGGCTGAAGTTAGGCAGCATAAGTGCAGGTGATGTTACTGCAGGTTTGTGAGTAGGATTTCTGAACCACGCAGGCACTGATGGATAGAAGATCAGTGTGAATTTGGAAAGCATCTATATGTTCAGCACCCATTCCTGGGTTATATTCTTGCCTGGCAGGGATTGCTTTGGAGGATTACTCATGCTTTTAAAATCCATAGATCCTACCAGAATAAAAGGATCCTCAGGTCGGCAGAGATGGCTGTTACTCAGACTCATAGTTGCTATATGCCCGAGCTTGTTCCTGCTGCCTTTGAGCTTTAGGGTAATGCTACAGAAAAGGATTACACATTTCCCTTCTCATTACAACAGCTCTAACAGAATCTGAGCCATCAATCATACTTGCTCCAGAGTCTCTTTATGCTCAGAAGCTGATTAGCTGTTGAAATAATCCAGCTTTGATGGCAAGCAATGCCTTATTAATACCACAACTGACTGCTTTTCTCCCATCATTTGCTTTTAATGGATCCCGTGCTCCTTTGTTCCTCCTTCTGCCTGTGGAGCTCTCAGAAAGGTTTGGTGACTAACCGTCTGCTTGGATGCACATTCTCTGCATCAAAACAAAGCCTAAAATGCAAATGCCGCTGGTTGTGTTCTGGTTTTAGGATCTCTTTCAAAGCATAAGCATGATCTGACAGTCTTTCTTCTGCAACTAAGCATTACACAGGGATTTACTGTACTCGTCTGTGTAGGGATGTGCCGGGTCCTCGGCAGACTGTAATTCTTTTGCATGGTCTCCATCTGTTCCACGTGCATGAAGAGCAGCCCTGGAGGTGATGCTTCTCTCCCATGTGGACATAGGGAAGATCTGATCTCACAGCCCGTGATCTCAAGAAGGTGAAGCAGAGTCACAACCCCGTGTCAGATGGAGGGGACTAATTCCAGCAGGAACAATGATCAGGGCAGAGAGATGGAGAGAGACAGCTGCTATAGACAGACCAACACCAACACAGCCCCTTGCCAGCCTTTCCCTGCCCACCTCCCTTGCTGCAAGCAAATGAGAGAACATGAAAGGATTCGATCTGCAGCTGTTAAAAAGAAAATATCTTGTCCTACAAAACTTCCTTCATCTTATGTAAGTTACCTCAAAGACGTCCTTGAGACGTAGCAGTGAGTTGTTTTTCCTGTGTTCGTTATGTAGCAGCTAAATGGCAAAATTTGTTGCTGAACACTAAGCAGTAGATGCTAAATGGCTTTAAATTAGCCTCCACTAGTACTGCAGCTGGCAAAGCTACCTTCTCCTTAGTCAGTTGCTGGGCATGGACTGCAGAGCCCAGGTTTCACCTGGGACCTTTCAAACATCAAATGAAACTGCAATAGTTTTTCCTTCCATTTCAAAAACTCAGCAGGACTCCTGCCTGGATTACCGTATCACAGAGGAGCTCTGCTGTCACTGTCTCATATTTAGGGAAGCTATGGAGAAAGGTTACTGCTGCTCTCAGGCAGTAGTTGCAGTGGGAATGTCTGGGGTTTGGGCTCTGTGGTGCTGCCTGCTCTCCAAGCATTCATCTTTAAATCAGTTCCTTCTTAAGCTGAATGATGAACTATGGCTCTAGTGCAAATATTTAATCTAAATCTCTTAAAATTTTGTCAACATACTTGGCAATGTTTTGGGGAAATAAAACTACCCAGTGATACAATGTCTCATTTATATGTAAATTGCAAAGAAATTAGGGAAAGCAGGGGACTGCCACTGTAAACATTACATAGATAACAAGTAGTCTGTGTGTGTGTTTTTGCTTCCCTTTTTTTTTTTTTTTTTTTTTTTTTTTTTTTTTTTTCCATTTTTCAGCTGGGATTACAAAAAGAAACAAGTGCTTTGGGTGTGTAACTGGCTGGCCTGATTGTCAGAGCACAGCGTGCCTTCAAATCGTGTTCCTTTCATGTGCCTCAAAGCTGGGCAGCGAGAATCATCAGTCAGTTTTTTAAATACAAGCCTTTGGTATTACATATGTATTCCAACCTCCCACTGATATACAAAAGAGCTATATGCACATTTTCCAAGGTAAAGAAAAGCTCTCAGATACAGCATGCCCAGTTGTTCCGGTTCTGAAAGAACACAGCTTTGCAGGGTAAGAAAAAAAAAAAGAGCATGGGGATGAAGATATCAAAACAGATCAACACGTCATCTGTAATGGAACTGAAGCAGTGAGATGCTGGCATGTTCTACCCCAGAAAGAGCTCATGGGACATGCTGTCTCTGCCCAAGAGTTGGGAGGCTCAGAGCAGCTCCTGATGGAGACTACTGAAATTTATAGAACATGGATAACATGAGAAAAGACTTCCAGAGAAAACATGGCCATAGAAAGCTTGTTGGGTTGTCACCATCAGTAGTTTGACAGGGTTATTTGTCTGGGCAAAACAAACATTTTCAGGTTGCAGGAGTAAAAAACTCGTGAAAGATCCAGATTACTGTGCAGGTTGATGCCAGGCATGGCTGTTTGCATTCTCATCTTCTGATGAAATAAAGTAGAGGACAAGCCTTTGCCAATTTAACTTCATCATAATCCCATTCAATTGCTCTGAGTACATCTGGGTTGAAGATCGTAGCCATCAGTGGGGTGATCCGTTGCCAAGAGCTGTTGCCTCTTTGTGTCTGGTTCCAAAGGCCAGAAAGGCTAGACAATCCTAAAGCCATCTCTGCAGCATGATGGCTCCAAAGTTAATTTCAGAATTATAATCACACTAGGCAAATACTCAAAAACTGGAGATGCCTGTAACCTCAATATGCTGCTCTGACATTGCCTCAAAACAGGGCTTATAATGGCAGGAGTTTGGTACAGCATGCACAGATGAGCCATCCTGCCTTGGGTATATGAAAAAAAACAACATTATCTCTTAAAAAAAGAACAAAAAGTCTGAGTTTGAATTGATTGGTTGAGTGACTACCATCACAGTGATGAACTGTATGCCAGTATCAATCCATTTTTGGCAGAAAGTCACCAGTTCATGTCAAGGGTTGCTAGCACTGAAGGCCATTTTAGAAAGGTGGTGGTAGAAATGCCCAACCTTGCTTTTTGTTGCAAATGAAAAGTGAAACAAGAAAGGTGATATGCATTCTTATTTCTGTTCTACAGAGAACAAGAGAGCAGAGAACAAGGAAGGTCGTATGTGATATCAGGGTTTTAATAAACATAATAAACAGAAATAAATGTTTTTAGCATTGGTAAATAAATGGCATAAATTAAAACGGGCAAACAAACAAACAAAAAACCCCATAACAACTTATATCTCCTTAGACCCAGAGATCACAAATCATTCTGTGAAGATGCAGTAAACGTTAGAAAGGCAGAAAGCAACAGTGATGTTCCTTTATAAGTGTATATCAGTAGCAATCACTGATTAATTATTTATTAAAACAACATGTAGAATTTGTCCTGAAAATATGTTGGGTTCCTCCCATCACAAAGCTGCTACCTAATGCCTTTCTGAGTCTCAGATTGTTTTATCTTTTTGTCTTTTTGTTGCTTTGTTTGTTTAAAATTCAAGTATATTCTTTCAGAATATACTGTCTGAAAATGGAGAGTCCTACTACCTGCTTTTCCATACATTTATGAATTGCATAAACACTGTACATATACACTGACTCCAAGTATCTTTGATAGAACTAGAGATATTTAACAGTCTGTATGGGAATTGGTAAGCCCTGGCCTGAACCAATGACTGACCACCTGGAGAGGGGACACAGCCAGCCCAGAGAGCACAGATGGAAGCAATTCACCTGTGAAACCAAAAGGGATGGAACCAGCTTCCACCCCTCCCGAAGCCTCATTTAGGGGCTGGCTGCCCTAAGAGAAGGTTCTTTACTTGAAGGTTTCTCTTTTTGGAGTGCTTGGTGAACCCTGACCTTTGGGACAGGTAAGCAACTTTTTCTTTCTTTAACTGGATTGTGACTTTTGCTTTTTTGGGTGGTTTAGAACTGGTTCTCTGCCATTGCCTTTCTTCCACAACCCTACACAGGCTGTATGAGCACCACGCCACTATTGAAGAGTGGTGTTTTTTTGTTGAGGACTTATATTAAAAGAAATATAGAAGGCAGGCTATGATATTCTTTAGTGCAATCGAATTATCTGTAACACAATGAATCTATGTAATTATGCAACTTGATCCGGAAAAGTATTCAAATACTAATTGAAGAATGAGGGGGAGATGCTGTGATAAAATCTAGGTATATTCATGGTGACTCTCTCTTTTTTTTTCTTCCCAATATCATGAGAGCATCCTATTGCACATTTTCTTTACGCTAAGATGTAAGGAATAAAAGAGGGAACAAAGACCACAGTGTTATCAGTCAGATTCAATTGATCCAACTGGCAATATGAAGAGGCTCTTGTCAAGTCAATGCAGGAGAAATCTTTTGGAGCTATTAGAGAATAAAATCCAAATCAATTGGTGACTGTAGTTTCAGCTCACTGAGAGCAATAGAAAGTCTGACTCAGAGTGCATGAAACCAAGCCTTTCTCAAAAGGCTTGAGATTTGTTTTGGTCTTTTTGTTATACACTTGTGACTGTTTAAATATTTAAGTATGAGATGTGACCTGAGCATACCGATGCTCAAGTCCCTGTGGTCACCAGTCAATGGTCCATAGTTGTCCTTATCTGTAGCAAAGCTCATTGGCACTTTGGTCACAGTGAGTCAACCCCGTCCAGACAGTGACCCAGGTGCAGACAGTTAAATTCCTCCAAAGACAGCTAGACAGTTAATCGTGTTTCTCAGTGTAATGAGAATCCTACTTAGGTTTCGTTTTATCTCATGTGTTTAAGGGTTTTAGTGAGTCTTTAATAACAGGCAGCCTTTGAATGCATCTCATAGGGAAGACTCAATTGCATTCCCCAGTGCAGACAGGAAATCCAAAGATCACTGTATTCTTTAAAACCTTTGTAAAGCCTTAGCATGAGGATTTAAATGGTTCTCATGTGGTGGAGGGGGCTCCAGCCTCATCCTCAGATAAGACCATCAATGACTCACGTGGTGATGCCTGGGGAGAGACGAAGCACGAGGTACAGTTGTGCCTTACTCATCTCTACTTGCATGGGATGTTCTTGTCTTTTCACATCTCCTTTTTTTTTTTTCTTTTTCCACTTAATTATATGTATTGTAAGGAAAACAAAACACCAGAGTTCATCTAATTACAAGGAGTTTATTGACTTGAACCTCAGTCACTGCAGACTCCTAACCTCATCATCTGATGAGCCAGATGAGCCTGAGAACTGTTTCTCTCCACTCTGAAACATCATGACCCTGCTTTGATTTAATTGGTGTCTTACAATAATTGAGTACTTGCCCAGAGCCAATTTAAAGGTGCTACCATCTGATTTTTTTCCCAATTGAAGGATTAACCCCATTAGCAATGAACTTTGTGCTGTCTGTCCATAATGTTATAAAGGAACATAATTCTGTCTCTTGCTCCACTAGCTCATTTCTTTCTTGCAGTAAAAACAAATCATTAAGCTTCTGTTATCTTCTGGCACATTTTGGACCTGTTGCTTCACTGCTTGGTCAGAAGCAGATGGTTATCTTGTGTGATCAGGCACTGGTTCCTTACTTCTCTCTAACCCGAAGCTGCCAGCAGCATTTTGCTCTTGTTGCACCAACCCAGCACATGTCCCTGGTGCCCTACGTCAGCTTGACCCTGCCTCTGTCTTCATCAGCATCTGTCCTCCTTGGAAATAGCTTTGCAGCATGCTCAGGGGACACCTGCATGGGGCTGGGATTTGCTGAGGTGGCTGTTCTGCTGTGGCTTCAAAATTAAGGTTGAGATTTTGGTTGACAGCAGGTTGTTCTCAGGTCACAGCATGCCCGGTGCTTAGTGCTGTGGCAGCAGTGAAACGGGCACACAGGAGGGAAGGTGTTCTCTGGGAGCCCCAGCTGTTGTTTTACTGTGTCAATTTTTGAACTTCTCAGTTATCTTAAGCTGTAAGAAATAATAAATGATTGGGAGAGAAGGATTTTTCAGTTTACTAATGGAATACATTCTCTGTAGATAAGTGCAGAAACACATAAGGATGTCTCACTATATAAGAAACAGAAGGTAGATGTCTCCAGCAGCCTCATTTTACATCCTATAATTCCTTCTTTATCATTAATAACACTGTCCTACATTTAAAATGCTCATCTCTTCCCTAAGGACCCAGGAATGCAGTATAACTTCCAGCTCACTCCTGAGGGCAGGTAAATTCTTAGCAGTTTCAGTAAGAATTCTGTGAGATTCAGACCAGCAGAGACTGATGCCTTTTCCTGAGGCTGAAGTGCAGCTCCTGCTGGAAGAGGGAGCAGCAGCTCACCCCTGGCATCTTGAAGCCAGGTGGTTGGGAGCTGGCTTGGAAAAAGCCTGAAGGGAAGGAAAAACCTCAAGTGAAAGGAGCGTGGTTGGGTTCCTGGGGCTTCTGGGACAGAAGAATGGTCCTGCACTTTGCTGATGTTCTGTTTGTGGAATATATTAGCGGTGTGGCTACACTAAACAAGCCTATGATGAGGTGCTGTTGGTAAACACTAGGAATATGGCACAGATGAGGATCACACGTGGTGATCAGGAGTGTTTTTGCTAAAGTGTGAAGATTTCATACCCAAAGCCCAAGAATGGCCATTCAGCAAACTTCTAAAATTAGAGTAACCTGTCACTTCTTGCTTGCCAGCAGAGCACATGGGATTGTAGAGTGTGGTACTGTCATCAAGAGCTTATGTAGGCTTCTGGTGCTGTCAGGATGCTGATGCTGAGCAGCTGCCCTGTATGTGAAAGTTTGCCAGGGTCGGCTTGAAATCCTGCCTCTGTTAAACTTGGAGGATTTTAGCCATTGATTTCAGTGAGGTTTTCACTTTTGGCCCTTTCAGTTTCTGAAGTAAAACACAGTAGAGGACCCTGACTACTGCTTAGTGGTAAGAAAAAAATTGTATATTGGTTTTGGCTCTGAAGTTCTAACATTCACTTGTGAATTTAAATTAGAAAATCTATTTGCCATATGTTCAATTCCAAGAGAATGATGTCTCCAGAGAGCCTGCTTCCTTGGGTTGCTTTGGATGGAGGAGGAGTGCTTACAAATTTCTTTGCTGTTCCCTCTTCTGTTTTACTTGTCACATTTACCATTAAACTAGCAGTGACATTTCTGTGCCATCTGTTTTTTTGGAATATTTTTAAGGGGCTGGAGGAATTAAAACCCAGGGTAAAACAAGAGGCCCACGTTGCTAGACCAGCAATCAAGAAAGTGAATGGGGGAGCCCACACTGAAATACTTTACCAAGGGAAACGAGGTCCTGAGGAGGGGTTTTATGCCTTGAAGAAAGGAGAGGAAATCTCTGAAAGATGTTTGGTTCTGGCACAGCAATCTCAACAATGGCTGTTACAGCAATGAGGTATGGTGGTAGCCAGCCCAAGAATTGCAGATCCGAAGCTACTGTTTTATTCATCTCTCAGGGGGCCAAGAAATATTCAGACAAATGAGGTTGTCCATTTTAAGGACTAGAAGGAAGTATGAGGTCCCTCTGGGCTCACAACCTCACATACTTTAAGGTAGAGTTTGGTATGGTTATGAATAAGGCTACTGTGAAGGGAGGAAATTTCCCCATGCTCCTGTTGGATTCATCAGTTCTCATTAGGGTTTGGACAAGCCTGGGAGAGTCTATGTCCAATTAGGAGGAATTCTCAGCCTGAGAAACAATAAAATAGAATTTCTTGCGAACGCTTCATGTAAACAGTTTGTGACATTCATAATCTTATCACACGGTTTCTTGCAACATCTCACATTTCCCAGACAATTGTTTTTATGCGAACTTAAACCAAAGAGCTTAAAAATTCAGTCTGCCCTCTCTGGCCTTGTGCAGCTGAGGAAAGAGGTCATAGCTGACATTGTCAGCTGCAGTGATTTCAGTCGCAGTGTCTGAGTGTAGCGTAAGCAGAAATTTATACTTTTTAATTTGGTTAGAAGATTGTGTTAAATGCCTGGGGAAAAAGCTAGATTGGAGCCCTGCCAATTAGCACACATTCAAAGTGTCTTTGTCAGGGGCAGAGCTGGGGGCTGGCATCAGACAAGGCCATGCATTGACACACAGATCACCCCCCAGCTTCACATGGGGTGAAAGAAGATGACAGATGAGTCATGAACAAAATCACATATTGATCCTTTACAGGATGATAATTTATGTAAATTGCACTTAATGTATGTAGATAGGACTGACATTTTCTCCTGGACTGTTTATCTCCAAAGTAGCTTACAGAATGATCAGATTATGACTCTGCATAGCAAAAATGTGGCTTTTCTCAGCCCTCAGCCAGATATTTGTTTGCTTGCCAGCGTGGGCAATTTAATTACTAATTCCCAGGGCTAATATACAATATCAGGCTATTACACTGCATTGTATCGTACTTACTGAATAGCATTACATGTGATTTATATTTAATTTTGACTCAATTTCTAATCTTGCTGTGGTGGAGTTACATGACCAAATGAGGCTGTGGTCTGCTGCGTTTGTAGTGCTCTAAATAGCTTCTAGTTCATCCTTTGTATCTCCCCAACTCCACTATTTCTCTTGTGTCCACACAACTATCTCCAGGTAAATATTTGTTAATCAATGTTCTTCCTCTAAATGAGGCTTCTTATTCAACTGTTTCACAGCCAATTAAACCACATAACAACAACGAAGGGGATTTGTTCTTTTCCTTCATGTTACTGCTTGGCTGCTGTAAAATACCTCTTAAAGAGATGGACTTAGTGGGGTGAAGTGTAACATGGCTTTAAGTAAGGAGCTGTAAAATTACATGGGGCGTGGAATTAACCAGGCTCTTTAGAACCAACAGAACTACACAGATGTAGAGGACCTGAGTTAATGCCTAGTTGTAGCAGGCTTTTCTTTACAGCCTTGGTGAAGTCACTCGAACGATGAAATTCTGCAGCAATTTGGGAGTGCTTTCAAAAGTAATGTCAATGATGTTCACTGGAAATCAATGGGGTTCATTATCCTGACCCCTAATCTTTCGAAGGCAGAGACATCTGAATTGCATTGATTTCAGTGGGAATTTAAATGCTTTCAGTTATCCAGATTTCTGTTTCGATCTCTGGATGTAGAGATCTCATTGTCCAAGTCACACAGGGGCTCGTAGAGCAAGGCTGAAGGTGGTGCTGTGCTTCACAGATGTGCTGCAGTGGGCAGGGAAGGATAGCTGTGAGATGCTCATCCAGCCTCGTCTGTCCACCCTCGGCCAGAATGAGAGAGGCAGAGCTTCCCTGGCAGTGCTGAAAAGGCAAATGTTCCCCTGCAGTTCTGGTGCCTGAAACCCAGTGAGTGAAGTGAAAAAGTTTAGTTCATCCTAGGGAAATTAAACTCAAAGTGCACAACACAGCAGATTAAAGAGGAAGAAATCATGGCAAGAGTGAAGTTCTGTAAGCTCGGTGCTGCTGGGGTCTCTGCATGCAGATTAAGCAGCTCTGGATCTTCAGCCTTTCAAGAGTCCTTTCGGGTTTCACAGTGTCTATGAAACCAGATATTTTCCTCTTATCTGGGCCCCTTTTAATTCATGTTCTTTCCAATCCTCCATGCTAGGAGAGAGTGTTTGTACTGGACTGAGTGGGAGTAGGGCAATTGCTGAAAGGGCTCCTGTACATATTAACAATAATAATGTGCTCTTTATAACCATGGTTAGTTTTAAAAGACATTTGACAAACAGTGGACTTGGAATGAAAGGCTTTTAAAGCCTCAGCCAAGCTATTTGCAATTAGAACACAGTGATGTGCATTTATTTTGTATGTAAGTTGAGCTCACAAAAATCTCCTTTTTTGTCCATTAACAAAACCACAGTATCCCCATGAACAAGCTCCCTTAATCTTCATGGTGCACAGTCTGTGATCTTATCCTTAGTAAAGCTGTGCAATGTCATGCAGCTCCAAGAGAAACAAAAGCAAAGTCCAAGCCAAAATGGAGACTCTCCCAAAACAGCACTGATTTGGGGGAGCACCAATAATTTGAGGGTGGTTGCAGCCTGAACAAAGCGTACATCCCAGAAATGTGCAGAAAGCACAAATTCTTTCTGCTCCTGTATGAAAAAGAATAAGTCAGGAAGAAAAAAAGAGTTGAGCATGAGCACAGCAGAGACTCCATTACCTCTCTCTGTCTTGAGTGTCTCATGTAGGCTCAAATATAAGGCGAGCAGTGGAGTGCACAGAGAATAAATGTAGCTGATAACTGCTTTGCCTTTGTTTCGCCATCTTTATAATGACATTGATAATTCTCTTCTGATCTCAGAAGTGTAGATGAAAGAGGCAATTGTCAACCTGTTCCCCAAGCAAATCATCACGGAAGGTCCAGAGTCTGTGTTTAAACAGTCTCTCTGGGCTCCCTCCCACTGTCATAGTAAGCAATAAGACAAAAGGAGTTGTCTTGGGTTGTGCTGACCAACCCCAGCTGTTGCAAGCAGCTGTGTTACATAAATCTGTCCATAAACGCATCTGACAGCCTGCACTCTATTACTCTGAAGAGGCTCTCTTAGAATCTATGCTGAGATGTAAAAAACTAATTACAGACTGCATCTGAATCTTACCCTCTAAGTCCTCTTACACGAGGTTTGCTGTGCGCCCATCATGGCACAGGGAGCAGTTATACTGTGCTTAACCTTTCATTTTTCTTGACATTTCTACTGCTTTTCTACCTCTCTTTGAAAAGCAGGCCATCCATACTCCCTGCTCATGCAGTCACACCTCACAAGCGCTGGAAGCAAATGTCCCAGTCTGGATGGCCAGAGCCTTATTTCATTCTGTGGTGGCTGGGCAACTCTGAAGGCTTACAGCCAGTTGAAATGAAGCTTTGGGCAATAGGAATCAAACAGGCTTTCAGCTGTTTATACACAGTTCATCCTTCTTTCTTGGACAACTTGTGTTTACTCCTTTTCATGCACCAAGGTGCCTGGATCTAACAGGGAGAAGAGCTGCTCAAACAGGCTTCAGTCACACTCCTTTTATCCTCAGCCCCAGGCTGACCTCCAGGTGTGTGCTTCTGTATTAAGTAGCCAAGGGTAGGTTGCAAGGAAGGCAGAGAAGAACCTGGCTCACTCTCATCCTTAGGTAAAACATCTGTCTTGCTACTGTCAAATGAAATCAAGTGTTTTCCTTTGCACGTTAAGAAATTTAAAGAAAGCATCCTTGTGGAGAGAGCTGTCACTCCCTGAGGAAGTTATTAGGTTGGTCTTACTCAAAGGATTTATGGGAAAAAATGTTTTAGCTGCCTCTGGAGCACCATACTAGCCCTAGTGTTGTTCCAGTTATTTTATCTGACTATCTTTACAGGTATTCCGGGTAATTTACCTGCACAGCCAGCCTCTGAATTGCTCTTTCGAATGCAATTGCTGTTATTTTTGAAAGCACTGCTCTCAAAAGCAATATTTCATCATTACTGTAAAACATCATCCCTACAATTATCAGACAGAGTGTCTGTAGGAATCTTACGGGAAGCGTGGTGACGCCTGAAGCAAACCCCAAACTCGGAGCTGTGTCTCATTAGTGCCTGGCTGTGGCATGCAACCCTTTTACCCCAGCATGAGAGGAATGAGAATTTGGCCTTTAGACTGTCATGTGCAGTGGAACAGGATTAGCTCTGATCAGTCTATCGTCTTAAAAGCAGACTGCTTTTGGAGGAGGGGCATTGCCTTATTTCCAGCAAAGCTATAAACAATGAGGAGGAATTCCCCCTGCTTTAGAGCTGACTCTTACGCTGCCTTTCTGACTGGCTCCAGCACTCTGCACAGGGCTTACAGCCTCACTGAGCAGGTAGGCTTCTGTCTCAGGTGATCCCTGTGCAATCCTGGCAACAAAAGGTCTGCAGCTCTGAAGGCACCATAGAAGAAAAAAAAAAAAACAGGGAAAGGTGATCTTCAGTTGTGTATCACATTGCATGTCACGTTTATTTTGAAGGTCTCTTTGTAATAAGGAAGCGGTTAAAACAGTAATGTTACAGGGGTAAAAAGTGTGTGTTTGTTTTTCTTTAGGGGTATTAAATCTTAGTGACAGAAAATTATCTTCCTTTTGTAGATCGTGAGATAAAAAGAACGATTCATTTGGTTTTAGTTCTCTGTCCCCTTCGCCTTCTGGAAAAAGTGAAGACAGAAACAGCAGAAAGCAGTATCTAAGAAAGATATCAGAAAATGAGAAAATATCCATCAGAATGGAAATGCCTTGCTTAAGGAGGGGGAAAAAAAATACCATTTAAGATTGGAAAATCACCTTGACAAGTTTCAACCTTCTGTAGCTGCCTGAGAAAGGAGTTTGCAGGAAATCCTTTGCTCGCCGTTAGGTACACGCACAGAGATGTGAAGTCAGCTATGTGCTGCTATCCTTATCTATTTACTACCCAGCTGAAAAAGGGCTCTGTCTGCCTAGGCTCAGGTCTGACCTTCCTTAAAGAAAAGGCTTTTAGATGTAGAGATTTTGTTTCCAGATTTCTTCTCATTTAATTCTGCTGAATGACTTTACCAATCTTGAAGTGCATAAGATGAGTTGACCAAATGAGAAATGCAGGTAGCGACAGCTGTTCTGGTGTCCTCTATTATATAGATGCAGGCACACACAAAGCGGGGGAAGGAAGGTTATCAGCATTATCAAGACATCACCGATGAGTACAGCAATCATAGCAGAGCCTGAGTGACATTTTCAGCAGCTCCTGTACTTAAATGAGCACAGATGTAGATACAGTAAAAGCACATAAGCAAAGGTAGCTCCAGCCCAGATCTCAGCAGTGTGGCAGACAGGATGACTGACTGCACAGTCATCTGCAGGAAGGAGGCTGACTTGCTAATTGTATGCAAATGAGTAGAAATTAAAACCATTTGAAGGCGCTGTGAGCAGGATGAAATGTAAAGCTTCCTGTGACATTTATTCAGAGGAGGATATTGTTTTCTGTGGCTGCTTGGTTCATGTACGTTTTGAATGAACTGCACTTCACCGTGTCACCCACTGAGTTAACAATTTGTGACAATTACAGTAATTATTCTGCTACAGTAGCAATGCCATTGCCCAAATATGTTCCAGGATTGGCTTTACTTGAATGAACACGAGTACCATGGGCCTGAAAAAACATTTGTGGATATTGAATCATTTAATTTTCTGATTCTGTTAATTCGCAGTGTTGAAACACTGATAACCCTGTTCATTAAAGGAGCAGTGGAGAAGTGTGAGACAATTGATACAGTGCTAATGAAACAAAAGCTTTGCAGTCTCTCTGAGAAAATGTGGTTGCAAAATACGTGAATATGTCATCTCTGCATTTGGTTCTTTACAGCTTGCAGAGGTGACTAATGCGAAGGCTGGATTGAGCAGACAGCCAGAAGGAGGTTGTGTGTCCTTGAAGCAGAGGAGTGACTCTGTAGTCCCACCTTCCCTTTGCCCTTCTTGGGCAAAGTTCCACACCTAGGTTTGCATCCTGCCGCAGAAGAGCCTGGATGGATGCTACCCACCAGACTGCACACACCTCCACGTCCAATTCTTGCATTTCTCACATCTGCAAAAGACCAAATAAACTCCAAACAAGGCAGTGGGAAAGAGCTCTTAGTAACCTACTCATTAAATGTACCACCTTTCGTTCCGAAGTGCTCTTCCAGCCTTAACACAGCACTTCTCCATCTCAATCTGTATGATTCCTCTGTTGATGGATATTTATTCCTTTCAGCCAAGCCTTAACATGGAAACCTTTTCTTCCATCCTATCTCTGCATTTTAAGAGGAAGTTGTGGCATGAAAAGGAGGGAACAATACTGAATGCTCCACTTAAAGATGAAAACTCAGCACAGGCATTAGAGGACATGGCTTCTTTGTAGATTCCAAACAATGCTGTATGTGAAAGAGGGATATTATTCTGGATGGGTCCTCTTGATTTCTTGCCAAGGTCAGCACTGGAGCATTCTGATGAGGAAGTGGTTGCTTGAGTTGCTTCATCAATTATTTACTTCAGGTTTGATGACATCTCACTGTTATTTTTCCTTTATGTTCTCGAGCCATTCACTGTTTGTCACTCTATTTGCAGCTGTGGAGGTTGCCCATTTAATTCTGTGAAAGGTACATATATCCAAACTTCTGTCAAGGCTGCACTATGTTTTCTACCTAATCACAGTTAACGTTACTTTGCAGTTTTAAAGTAATTATTTTTCACTGTCAGTGGCGAGTGCTTTCTAATCCTTATGAACCAAGTCCTCTCTGGCCCTGAGTTACAAATAAAACCAATTTTGTCAAGAATAGGTTCTGTAAGGAGTCTGTTCTTCACAAGATCCTAATTTTTGGCTGTCTCTATTCCTCTCCTCTGCAAAATACAACCAATTACTGTAGATCCCACTCCAGTCTTATGCAAGAATATAGGTTCTATCTGGCATAAACCTCTTTCACAATAGCGATTTTTCTGAAGATAAGGGTGTCGTCATTTGATTTTCTTCCTTAAACATCCAAGCCTTCTTTCAGTGGGGAGCACCATCATGTGGATCCCTGGATCCCAACTGGCTGCTGGCGAAGTGGCATTTGGGGAAGACACATAAATACCAGAGAGGCCCCACAGCAGCGGGGTGCCCTGGGTGTGGGACAGGCTGCAGAAGAGTTAAAGCAACACAGTGATAAAGCATGGAAATGCCTGTGGTGCCTTACCACCCACGAGTTCTCCTTGTCCTTATTCACCAGTCTGCCTGACATGGATGAAAGTGCCTTGTGCTCCCTCCTGCAGTCTTTCTGGGGACTGAACAGCAGAATGTTATTGTCCTGCTAATAGCGGGCAGCTTTTACAGACCTGGAGAAAAGGGGCTGGAAGAGACGCTGGGAATACTGTAGATTGCCTTATCTGTGCTTCTGGGAGTATTGGCCATGTCTAAGGACAAGAAGCAAGATGCAAAGAGTGCTGGAGACAGAGCTCCAGGCAGATCCTATCACGCTCACCCTGACAGCTGTCCTTCCTGTATTTTGCTCTAAATCCTCCACACACAAAATTCGTCATCTCTTGACCTGTGCCCTGGTGACAAGCAGAGCAGATCTGTGCTTCCTCTCATCATGGAGAGGCTCTGGGGATCTGTCCTGAGGGCTCCCTCAAGAGCAGCCCTAGCAAGGCTGCTGCTGCCTCTGCCTGTTCACCCTGATAGCAAAGCAACAGCATCTTGCCCTAGCTTGCAGTTTTCCTTTGTGACAATCCAAGACAAGCTTGTTTTTCCTTAACAAACACATTCTCTTGTCTTTGTCAAAGAGGGGCTCGCTCCAGCAAAGTATTTACAGCTGAGGCAGTGCAGGCTGGGCACCGTGGGCTCCTGTGAGAGGTCCGTGCAGTGAAGCCCATCCTTCCCAACCTGCAGCCATTGTCTGTCACTGCAGTTGGTGAAAATCATGGCCTCCTCACTCTCAAACCCTCATTCTAATACTCCAGAATAGCTCTCCAGACCAAGAGCTGGTAAGGATGATGATGATGATAATTATTAGTAGTGAAATTTTAGCTGTTGTGGTTTTTTTCCCTTTAGGAGAGGCAATTTATTAAAGCCAAAATTGTTGATGGGAGCTGATTTGACAAATTTCTCAGTTTGGGACCACTTCCTTCAGGAGGAAGCACAGCAATTGTTGAAACAAGATTGTCTGTATTTTTTAAATGAAGAAATGTTTTGATTCGGGGGTCAAGATAAGTTGAAAAGAAGTGGGACAGAGAGTCAATTTTAGCTTAAAAAATATGACAAATGTATAAATCAAAAGGAACCCTATTTTAGCATCACTTAGATACAATGGTTTTATAGCCCTGAAGTATTTATTATTTTACATTTTGTTTCATCCTTGGGCCATGAGAAACCTCTAGTTTTGATATTTGGCAGAATTGGAAGGGGTTGTTATTGAGGGGGTGGCATTTGGAAAGCTTCTTGGGACATTAAAGCCACTTCCCCTCTGGTCTTCAGAGCTTCTCAGTTTGCAGCCCTTCCCATCAGATGGAAGAAGTCCCACGTGGGGATGGAGACAAAAGCCTTGCTGGGTGATACTCCAGGAGAGGCTGTGTCTCCAGCTGGCAGCCACTGCTCTCCTTCCTGTCCTGCCACTATCACCACTTTGTAAGAGTACCTGAACCTCAGCCTCAGCTCACGAGACTTTGCCTCTGCATACAAAAGGACCATGTTTTTTGTAGCACTTTGGGCCATGCTGCTGTCACATCTCCAGAAGATGGAGAGTTCAGTGTCTGCCATCCCCCTGTTACAGGGGGGTACTGGGAGGTGATCTGACTGTGTTCAAGAAAGGGTGATTTGGAAATAGTCCAGGGATGAGCAAGGGTCCAAGCTCTGAAGATGTCCTTCTGGAACTTGCATCTGTGCTACAAAAGAGGGAGGTACCTGACATGTTATTCAAGACTACTGATTAGAGTGAACCAGATGAGAAGATCTTTCTGATTCTGAAGTCCCTTGGGAACAGGGACCATCAAGCTGTGTCTTAACCTATATTGAACACTCAATCCAAGAACTTACTGATTTGAATAGAACTTGTAAGCCTTGATGAAAACCTTTACTTTCCATCAAAATGCTTCTCCTCTGAGCTGGGCTGTGACAGTAAACCTGCCCTCAAATTGCCTACATCACTCAGGTTTTCCTTAAATGAAAGATGAACCTATCTACTTCTTCACTCATCTTACCTCATTCCCAAATCCCTGACTATCCCTGAGAGGAGGAGAAGAGGAGGGTGATGGTGAACAGGTGGCAAGAGAAAGAAGAAGGGTAATTTGGCGTTATGGACCAGGTGCCAATGCTGTATTAATAGCTTGTGAATAAACTGTGCTTCTAAATATGACTTTAGATGTTGCTTTACTTGTATTCAATAAGGACAACGCATTGACCTTTTCAAGGCTAATGGCTCAATGATTTACTAAGACAAATCACAGATTGATTCTTTTATTAATTATTTCTCTGGGCAATTTAAAACAGAGATTGATACATTTTCCATGATGCCTGGAAAGACATTTCTGCTCATCAGGTTACAGATGTTCCATTGCTTAGACTACATTCCTTATATGAGAGAATTTCTACCACTGCATCTGAAGAGCAAAACTCATTAAAGGAAGACATTTTCTCATGGAACTAGATGTAATCTTTGCTTCTGCCCTGCCTTACTTCCAGTGCTAAATATTGGCAGTTGAGAGAAAGCTCAATGCAATCCAATTTGTGGAACCAATTGTGACAACTCACACGGTTCTGAGTTTTACCTCCCCTGAAGTCATTGGCAAAACATCCATGGCTCCTTGTTAGCATATGCAAATAGATCTCTGGATATAATCACTGGCAGAGAGGCAGTACAAAGTGAGGAGGTGCCCATCCTTTCAGGGATGCGTTCTCATCTCAGTGCTTTGTCAATACTGCTGTCAATGACCTGGGAGAAAATCAGAAATCATTACTAATAAGGAATGCAGGTGGCTCAGACTGGGACATAATGAGCCGTAGATACTAGTGAGCTCGATCACTCAGCAAATCAGATGCAATCAAAGCACATCTTTTTTCATGCAGCTAAATATATAGGCATGGGTACCTAGATGAACATAGGCATATACTCATGAGAAATCAATGTGGCTTGTAAATGCTCCGTATGGGTAAATTATGCATTTTGCAAGCATAAATACTTTATTGCTGTCAGACTAGTAGGATAGTATAGCTTAAAGGAGAATTCATTCTGGTGTGTTACCAACATAATAATGACATTCAGCTTCCTGTGCAGAGCTCTCTTACACCATCTCCTGCTGCAGCCCAGTGAGGCTTTAGCAGCAGGGTTGTAGTCTAACACATGGAAGCTGTTTTTGTATTGCAGTTATTATTGTCACCTTGAGATAGGTGGGCACTCAGGTTCGAGTTTTCCAAGCTTTTCCCCAGGAATTCAGCAGCAGGATGGGTGGCAAGTGGGCTTAAGTCTTCTTGCCTGTGCAGGGCACATCATCAGCTCTATCCAGTGCATCTGTCTTTTTATCACCACCTCTTTATTCATTTCAAAATGAAGCCAGACCCTAACCTTCATGAGAACCAGGGAGCCGCTGTGTTTGCGGAGTCCCTCACAGGCACTTTTCCTATCTGTGGCTCTTTCTTCCCCAGGGCTGCTATTTCCCTCTGTAATAGAAGTGGCTCTCTGGAGCAGTTGCTCTTGGTGCTGACAGCTCTCTGATTAATGGCAGTGACAGCTTAGTCTCCCCGTGTGTGCTGGGGGAGTCTGCACAGGGCTTTCCTCTCCCTCCTCTTGGCTCAGCCTTTACCTACGTGGAAATCTATCCATCACAGCAACCACCTGGCAGGTAGAATTCAGAGCATGCAAACTCCTGCCATCTGAGCTAAAAAAGAATTGAGCAACATCAGCTCAGCAAAAACAGTATTATTGTATGGATGAGGATAAAATGCAAGCTCTGTAGAGAGAGGCAGTGTTATCATTTATTAGGCCATGCACTTACTTTTGGGAGGAAAAGTGGGACAAGATTTTGGGCATTTCTTTAGCTTATAATCAAAGCAACCATCTCCCAGGCTGAACAGGTGCTGAGACTAACTGCTCTGAGGCTACAAGTCACTCATCTTTTCGACAGTGAGGGAGAAAAGGGCATCGATACCTGGAGATCATCTGAGAAGGGCAGGAGTAAAGTCAAACTGCTTCTGTGAATGGAGGCAGACAGCTATTTATCACTGTCCTGCTGATGGACTTAGAATTCATACTCCCTCCTGGCACAATATAAAAGTTAAATTTGCAAGCAGAAACTTGTTTTACCAAGAAGGAAGACTAAACAGGAGGAGAAATCAGGAAAATCAGTGACAAAGAGCTGGGCAGATGAGACAGAGAAACAAGAGCCTGTGCCTGCCCTCCAAGAATCCTCAGCTCTCCTTGCCTGGGTCTGAGACTACAAACAAGGGCTGCTCAGAGCTGCACATATTTAGAACATACACTGACATATGCTGACATACATTGAATTTCTGCCAAGACACAGCAAACCCAAGGGCTGGAGCTCCTGGAGTGTAGCCAGAAGTAAACATTTTGGTCATAATGGCTAAACAACGGAAGCTACTGCTATCAATGAAGAACAGGTAGAAGGAATGAACCTGACGGTGATTTACACCTTGCTGCAAATGGTAGGGCCCTGGGAGGAGAGAGCAGGGCTTGAGAGGGCTGTGGGGTTCAAGACAGACCGTTCTAATTCCTTTATAGGCAGGAAACATTGATACAGCCTTGGAGGTAGTTTGTCAGACCCATTTGGGTGTGCTGGGTGAGCTGTTGCACTCTGCACAAGTCAGTCATGCTCTGATCCTTTGCCATCTCGTAGACAGAGGGATGGGAAATGAGCTCAGTGCACACTCGGTGCATATTGAAATATAACCTAAATAAAACATCCCAAAGAATAATCAGCAGAGAAGTAAATCTGGTCATGCTACGTGGTGTCTGCTGGAGCTTCCCATTTCGAAGCAGGAAAACTCCTTTTGTTTCACTTTGGATCTTTCTTCTTTTCCTTTTATGCACACAACCAAAATGCACTGCCTGCATCACATCCCAGCGACCTTCCTGCATGAAGAGCAAAGCCAGGGCCCTCGTGAAGGGAGCACACAGCAAACCAAGAAGATTCCTTGGCTCACAGGTTTTTGGAAAGCTGCTCAGAAATGAATGGCAGCCCTGTGACCTCTGCCTGCAGATGCTCCAGAGAGGAAGCTTCAGGAGAGCAACAAGGAGGAATTCTTTGGAAAGGCTTTCATTTTCAGATTGAAGTGCCTTAGGACATATTTTTTTGTGTTTATCAAAGGACTCTGACTTTCAGTGGAGTTAGGGATTGAAAACACAGGTTCCTAAATGATATTTTCAGAGGCAGATTCTGGCACACTGGGTCAGACCTTCAGACCCTTTTTCTGGCTCCCATGGCTCTTTTTTTTCTGGCTCTCCTTAACTCTGTCCCTTTTACGTATAAATGATGCATAATATCACATTATAAGTGCTTAACACATCATTTTCTTTTACACAATGCTGAGAGGACAGCAGGTCTCCCTGGGGCAGCTGGGTGATTCTGCATGGAATCTCTGATGTCTACATCATGCTGGTTGATATTTTTTCTCATCATAGGTGTGCAGCTGAGATAAAGTCTACAAAAGATACTATCTCCATCCATGCTGCCTAAATTTGGGTGCAGCTGCCCAACAGGTTTAAAAGTTATCAGAAGGAGAGTAAAGCTCTTTCTCTCTCACACA